AGCCATTAATAGTGTAAGTAGACAATTATCACTTATAAGAACTTAAGGTGCATTTTTCTAAAAAAAATTGTTATGTAAGACATCGAAATTTTCACACCGTTGTTTAGATAATTATCACTGTCATCAATTTCGAACGAAAAAAATATGCGTTGTCATTTAAAAAAAAAATTATGTCATCGCTGCCGTAAGTGGATTATCGAAAAAAAAAATTCCGCATAACAAGGTGCCCTGGATAAAATCGACGGGTCTCACCGTTTTTCGAAAAAAAAATTGTTTAACGAAAATATGAATTTTATGCAGAACTTTTTTACCACGCTGTATATACAAATTATTTCACGCGATCCGCCACTGACGCCATATCGAATGCTTTGCTAGGAGACTGCGCAAGGTAATGTAACTACTACATCAGCTTTTATCTACTGTTGTTCATAAATAATTGAGAATATAATAATGTTCAAACATTCAAAATGAACGGAAGTATATTAATATTAACACTTTTCAGTTGCTTATGTTCTGTTTTATGTGTTAATAATGTTACACCTATCGTGCTGTGGCATGGGATGGGTAAGTTGATTCAGAATCTTTCATTTAGGTTATGTTATTGAAAATCGCAATTGAAATCGAAGGTCAATTTAAAAACTGGAAGCTAACTTTGCAGGCGTTGCTACAGAATAATATTTCAACCCATACGATTTTTTTTAATTTGTTTCTGCATGTTTTATTCTAATTATTTTAATTATTATATCTATATAAATAATTTAGTATTTAAAGCTTATATAAATGACTTTTAACATACAATAAACAAAATTTTAAAAATAAGTAAAAAAATGTAGGTATCTATACAGGGTGATTCACAAATGGTGGCCAAAAATGAAGCCTCGTATTCTTTGGTGAATTTTAATGGGAGCCTTTCCTATAATGTTTTTATCTAGGACGCTTCGTTAAAATGATACAGATAAGATAATTTGTAGAAAATTGAAAGACGAATCCGAAAATATCATGGTTGTTACCGTAATGCAGTGGCGTACTATTTTCTTTGGAAAAATATGCCACCGATACCCTGTATCTCCGCCACTGGAGCATGCAAAAAGGCCTCAGATTTTATACAATGTTTACATAAATACATGTGCCTAATTTCAAATCATTTCACTTACTAGTTTTAAATTAAATTATTTAAAAAAATTAAAAATATTTTTTGACGTTTAACACACTGTATCCTTTTAACGGAGCGTAATAGATAAAAACTTTATACGAAAGACTCCCCTTAAAATACGAGGTTTCATTCTTGGTCACCATTTGTGAATCACCCTATATATAAATCGTTGGTACTTATGTTTATTTTCATTAGTAAATAAATTCTCAAATTTTTACAATCAAGTTTTGTTATGAATTAAATTTATGTCAATTTTACTTAGAAAATAGAACTCTAAAATATAAAAGTACCATTTTTTAAATTTTACTGCAAAATGCTGATGAGGGTAGTTCCTTTGTCTCTTATTTTCATACTTACATAAAAATGATATAGATCAGTTTTAAAAAATTTTACATCGATTTCAAAGGAAAGCTGTTGAATATTGCATTTCCGATGTACAAAAAGCTAATTGTTTTCTTAATAGAACGCATTGTATATTTTTTAATTGAAATTGAACGATTTCTTAATAAATATATAAGTGAAAATACACAGGATGTTTGTTTAAAATCACACAAGTTTGGTGGAAACGATTTACTAAGAACAGTCTTGATTTGTCACAAATTTTGACTTAATCCCATTTTTTTAATTTGGAAGTAAAGGAGTGGTAGATTGTCACGAAATTCCATTCTAGCAACGTAGTAAATTTTTTATTTGAATTTCGTAGGAACTTGTCATGATAAAAGTAAATTGTTGATTTGTATTTGCTAGATATTATACTTTCTTCTTTCACTAAAAATATGGATGATTAATGATTAATTTACAATACTTCTGCTAAAAATTAAAAGCAAAATTTTACCGCTAACCAGTTTTTTAAACCAAAGTTACAAGTAAATGTGACAAATACGATCATTATTCAACATTGTGTACAGGAAAGTATTATTTTTTCTTTAATATGAATTACAATTATTATTCTTATGCTTATATAAAGGTAGAAGGAAACACTATATTATTTGTTTAGACACTGGCGAGGTACAGTAGAAAGTAAATTATCACGATTAGAAATACTTCCGCTGCCTGAGTAATATGGTTTTTAAACAATTAGCAGTAGCGTACCAACCAAAACCCTAACATGGGTACAATATTACCCAAATCTATATTCATGACAATATTGACCTTTGGAAATCTACATTATTTGATTTGCACCTATATTTGCACATAAATATATTTTTAACTAACACTGCGGACATTGAATCCGCTATATCTAGTAAATAGCTAAGGTCATTCATCAGGACAGTCATCAGACATATGTGCTAGTTTCGAACTTATCAGTTTTCGCAAGTATGCGATGTTTGGATATGTCTACAGACATGTATAAAGTATTGGTGATATATAACCTAAAAAGCACGATATATGACATATATTTAAATGTCATTGCTCCTTTATGTCTACTGACAGAAGTACCTACTGACAAAAAGTGACCCACCAATCTGTAGATGCAACAAAAGCATCTCTAGTATCTCACTGGGTGGTATAAACTTTTTGACTAATGACAAATTATGAATTAATAATTTACTAGGAAACAACTACTAAAAATAGTACATGGCATTTAAGGATCTATGCCATTTATTACGATCGTAAAATAAATTGGAAGAAAAATACTTTCATAAACTAAGTTATTTGATTGACAAATGTCTCAATAAATAAATAATTTTAAGAATAATTATATGGTCAGTAAAATTAATATATATTTAAAAAAAATTTTTTAGTTATTTTCTTATTGTGATACGAATCGCGCACTGTTTTGATGTGCTGTGTAACACCGCCTTTACTGAATTTCAGGGAAGGACCTTAACTACATTTTATGCGATAGAGATGAAAAAAATTCTGCTCTTCAATTAGAATTCAATGTTTCTGTTTTTTCTCTACCTATACTAAACTACAATATCTCTGACTATATTGAATTAAAGTTTGTTGTAATGATATTGTTATCATTTTAGGAGATAGTTGCTGCTTCTCCTTTAGTTTGGGGGCACTACAAAAGAAATTGAATGAGTCACTACCAGGAGCCCATATCGTTTCACTACGTATTGGTGGAAACATAATAGAAGACGTCGAAAATGGATACCTCATGCACCCAGACAGACAGATTGAGGAAGCTTGCAGTATAATTAAAGCCGATTCTCAGCTTTCCAACGGTTTTAATGCCATTGGATTTTCCCAAGGAGGTCAATTTTTGTAAGTGTAAGATATATTTTGTATTTATTAGATATATAAGGTAAGTATCTTCAAAATAACACTAGAATTTCCTAGATATTTTTTTGCTGAGTATCGATGTACTGAACGCTCAAAATAAGGCGGTGCATAACCGTATATACAGGTAGCTTATTTGAACACTTGCCTGGTAAACGTTTATCTTTAATCTTTAACTTGTTTCCTGTAATCTATTACTAAAGATTTTTAGACTTGGTAAAGTTAAATAAAGCAAATTCATGGAATAAGTTATATAAAATTAAACTCCAGTTGCTGCTGCTCTTGAACTAATTATTTTTACCACTGTTTCAAAAACCGATTTATCTCGAAAACCGTCAATTTTATCGAAATAAATGAGCAGTATCTTTATTAAAGGAAAACCCTCAAATTATCTAAATACAATATTTACAGTTTGATAGTATATCTGTCAAAAATTTGAAAAAATATGTGTTGGGACCACTCTTTTCTTGATATGAAGAGCAGTTTTTACAACAAATCATGCACACGTAAATGCACTATTATACGAGTATGTCAAAATTTATTCAAAATATACCTACCGCCTGACTAAAATTAGACATGCATGATACAAATTTGTTACACACAGAGGTGCACTTTCGGCAGTGATCGTAGTAATTTTCGTGATCAATTTTAAAGTTGTCTACCCATATCATAACTACTTTTTATACTAATTGTTCAGAAAGTATTGGATTATAGTTAGATTCAAGTAGACACTCTACAGGGTGTTTGAAATATCGGGAAGACAAAATTATCTCTTTCATGTGCATTAATTAAGTATATGTTTATTAATTTTAGCAGTCAGTATATCGGAAATATAAATTTGCAAACATGCTGATAGGAACTTTCCTTGTCGGTTTTTGACGTAAAATCCACCATTAAAGGTGAAGCATTTTGCTTATACATTATATAGAATGCAATGTTTCATTCTCGTATTGTATCTATATAGACATTTGACTTATTTTTATTTTAGGCGCGGGTTGGTTCAACGTTGCCCGATGGCAAAAGTAAAAAATTTAATATCTCTGGGAGGTCAGCATCAAGGAGTTTATGGCCTTCCCAATTGTGGTTCACTGTCACACCCATCTTGTGATTATTTAAGGAGGCTTTTAAATCACGCTGCTTATTTCCAGTATGTAGACAGTTTTCAATAAATTAATTTTTTTCTTAATACACTGTCTAGAGCAGTGGTTCCCAAAGTATGCGCCGCGGCGTGTATCCAGGGGCCTGAAATATTACAAAAGCTTTCATAATTATTTTTATCATTTTCGTTTCAATGGGGTAAGATGCGACACTTAGGGGAGCTGGTGTAAATCTATAATTGAAATAAATTATTACATTTCTTCATTACTTGATGGCGTTCTACATAAATTCGTAGCCATTTTTAAAGAAGATTTATCACAGTTAATTCAACATGTATTCAGCATCCGCCTGAACACTGACGGAGCACTGGAACACATGCAAAAAAGGGAACCTTTGAGTTGTCTGGCGACAATAGTGCAATAAAGGGCAAAAATCAATGTAGAAAAAAAATTGCAAGTAACTGTATCCAGTTTGATTCCATGATTTGACAAAACGTGCTGTGATCTGCAGTCTCATACCCCATTAATTTAATGTTAATGAATATCGAGTGAATTTGTTCAATAATGATGATTGTTTTATTGTGATTTATTTATTTATATTTCTTATGATTAGTAACGCTTTGCTTAGGGAAAACCCCCCTATGAAACCTAGTTCAAAAAAAACGCTACGAATGAGAAAGTTTGGGAACCACTAGTTTAGGGAGTATATTTTTATTTTTATGTTTCTTTCTTAATTGCTACTCCTTGCAAACTAAATCTGCCTGTTACGTTTTGTAGTTGGGTGCAGAAGAAATTAGTTCAAGCCACTTACTGGCATGATCCACTCAATGAAGATGAATACAAAAATTATAGTTCGTTTTTGGCCGACATAAATAATGAGAGGTCCATAAACACGGACTACATAAAAAACCTTCAAAATCTGGAGAACTTCGTATTGGTTAAGTTTGAAAATGATACCATGGTTCAACCAGTGGAAACAGAATGGTTCGGTTTTTACAAGCCCGGACAATCGGTTAAGATCGAGACTTTGAAAGAGTCGGCTTTATTCGTTGAAGTAAGTATAGTTAAAATGATATTTTTGAACGTTTTTGTGAAACTTTATATTGTTTACAGCTTGCTCTTTCGCGAGTTTCACATTAAAAGAGTTTATTCATCAAATCAAATCAAATTTTCGATATTGATAGAAATAGCTTATTAATAATAAAAATAATAATATCTCTATCCCTCATCCTAATCGCAAGGATTAGCAGAGACTTGTGCGGGAGAAAGGGCGGCATATTACTTCTCAATAGGCCACATTTGATCGTGCCTATGCAAGAATACATATTGTTAATAAACAATCATTTGTTCATTTGAAATAAATAAATTTTGAATTTAACAAAACCATTAGAATCGTGCACCAACCTTGTATTGTTTTTATTCAAAGAAGCAACGCATCAAAACGCCAAAGGTAGTGTAACTTACTGCACGCGGACAATTTTCTAGAACCGCATTCTTATACGAAATAATACGCGACAAAAAAATTATTGTTAGATGTATAAGAAGTAATGAATTGTAAATAATACTTTCATAATTATATTAAACTTACCGGAAGTAATGTTAGAGCAATTTAAAAATACCGACTACGCTACACATTTTTATATGGTTATTCTATATAAAATCGATTGTCTGATAAACTAAACGCGTTGCGATTTTTAATTTACTGAAAGAGATAACAGTTTCATATATGAAGTTGTTGTTTCAGAGCGTTTATCGATTTCGGTTATTTTCTGTGAGAACTGTACTTAGGTTCATTGTATTACACAGGGCGTCCTTTAATTCGACTTAACTTAATTTAACTTATATAGGATATTCTTTCGTGACATTAAGATATGAAGAAATTAATCGTGATCGATTTAATGTTTTTCATGAACGCATCAACTGCTTTTTCACGCATCGAAAAATCAACAAATTTCTCTAACATCAACATTTTTACGCTATGAAATAAACAACTTTGACATTAATACAACAATATCAATTTAAATGTAAATTACTCGTAGTAAATGAGAAAGTGTCAGGAACGACATTACAGGATTATGAATACCTCGTTAATATTGAAATAAACATTAATATAATTGGGGCAAATGTTAAAATATAATCATCAATATTAATAATAAATTATTTATACGTTCTACTAACCTTTAATTAACAAGTACCTCGCATCTACATAATTGTAAAATCGGGAAGGACTTCTTAATAATAATGTTATTATATTTATAAATATTCTTTCAGGATAGGTTAGGATTACAGCGCATGGATAATCAAGCGAAATTACATTTTCTTGGGGTTCCAGGAAACCATCTGAGATTCGAGTGGAAATGGTTTGACGAAAACATAATACAACCGTTTTTAAAATAAGTTATAAAAGTTTATTCTATTTTTAAACAATATACCAAAGTGTAAATTTTGTAATTATGTATATTTAATATTTTTTTACTTCCTACAAATGTTTGTAAATAAATTTGTTTATAACTTTTTTGTGTCTTTTAATCTGTTACATTCCATTAATTCTGTAACATGTTATGGTGTACATGACATGAGATTATGACAACTTCAGCTTGACGGATTTGTTGATTAAACATATTTTATAGGAGTCAACTATATAAGTAGATTATTTTTCAATAATTAGCTAAGTGTTTATTCGTTTCATTTGCTTTTTGAGTAACTTAATAGATTTGCTTTTTAAATATCGCAATTTTAAACTTTATACTATTTACATTAGTTTCATTTTAAAGTTTGTTTATTATATCTAATTGATTCATGCAAATATTTATAGAATGTATTGTAAAAGAAACACTGCATAGAGAAGTGCCATCTAAAATGTGTGTTTGTGGAGAACACTTAGATGTCGATAAAATAATAGACAACAAAAGATTAAATGTTTCATACAGGGTGTAAGAAACTTTGACATCTTGTTTGGAAAGTCATTTTGAGAAGAAAAAGAAATGATAATAACATCGGTCGTTTTTTCTTCTGCGCAGAGTATATTTAAATTTTATTGAATTAGTAGGTAATGAGTATTATTATCATTATACACATGTTCTTGCAGATTAGGTCATTTAGAAAAAAAAGTATAATGAACCAGTGTCTTACTCTTGTCAGTTAGAGAGTAAAATATTTCTAGTCTAAGTACCTAACATTTCTTATAAAACTGAATTCCTTGTGGAATTAAACAATTAATAAGTTATATCTAGTTGACGATTTAATTGTGCAGATAGTTTTCAAAATAACTGTCTCTGAGCTTCTAAAGAGCATCACATAAGACACCTGAAAGACCTCAGTCTTCTTACAGAGTTATTGGACGTACTAATCAACGTAAAAATCAGAGAAATTGGTACAGCTATTGGTACTGCTAATAATGCTAGAGTAAACTATGTCAACATATACGTTTTAATTGCATCAGGTCTTGCTTGGAATGCCATTTTAAATTTAATGACGAAAATACATTGGAATACATTTTTTAATGATTTTTCCACCTAGTAAAACGGCGAACACTGCCACTTATGACCAACACTTGTGTGAAAAGTTGCAGTATATAGGCAATGGCAAATGAAATATTAAACTAAAAATGGCATTTGAAGAGTCATTATGAAGTTTTGTATGACAAAAAAATACCTGCTTCATGCCGTGTCTCCAAACGCCATCCCCAACCTCATTCAAACTTCTGTATATTTTTTCAAATGCTTGATAGAGACAGCAAATGCCGATTCGACAGAATTGATATCGAACCGTAACACAAAATGCCACAAATACATAATGTAAAGATAACTGCGAGCACGAGTGAGGACGAAATAAGATAAAACTTTGAAATTAAACACATAAGGAAAACAGAAAATCTAAAAATAGATTGAGAAAAGTAATAAACAAGGCGCCTCCACCATTTTTTGTTTTTAATTTTTGATTGGACATAATAATAAATATTTTTAAAATAAGAGCCTAGAAAATCTTGTTGTCTGCCAATGTAATTTTCACTAACAACATTTGACAAACACACTTTACACATAACACAAAATAGAAAACCAAAACAAGAATAAGTTAAGATAAGTTAAAAAGATAATTTAAAAGGAAGAAGACTATCAAAATACATTTTCAGCCTTCCTAAGTCTACGAATGTTATTTCTTTGTACACGAAAAAGCATTTCTGGGATAATAATTCAGTAGGTCCATACGTTTTTCAGGAACGTCTGAATGGACATCGATATTTACAGTTTTTGCAAAATAATTTGCAACCACTATTACACGTTGATCCATTAGACACCCGAAGAAACGTTTGGTTTATGCACGATTGAGCTTCTCTCCCATTCCACTATTGATGTACGAAATTATTTATCGATTGTGTTTAAATGGATTGGGAGAAGAGATCCAATTTCATAGCCACCACGTTCTCTAGACTTTAACTCCATGGACTTCTTCCTGTGGAGATACCTGAAAAGCGCAGTCCCAGTATAAACAAGGGATGAATTGTTGCAAATAATTAATTTCCATTGTGATAATATTAGACATACCCCTGAAATGCTTTTTCGTGTACAAACAAATAACATTCGTAGACTTAGGAAGTGTGTGGAGGTGGAAAGTGCCCATATTGAAAATGCATTTTGATAGTTTTCTTTCTTTTTAATTATTTTTTTAACTTACTTTAACTTATTGTTGTTTTGTTTTTCTATTTTGTGTTATGTGTAAAGTGTGTTTGTCAAATTTTTTTAGTAAAATTACAATAGCAGACAGTAAGATTTTCTAGGCTCTTTATTTTAAAACCATGTACAGTTCTAACATAGTAATTATGTCCAATTAAAAATTAAAAACAAAAAATGGTGGAGGCGCCGCTCGATATGCACTGTGACATAAAATCTCACATATGTCCTAAACTGTTAATTTTAGCGAGTTGAACCCGGACGGGAAATTCATCACGGAACTTATTTTTGATACAGGCAGATTCCGATCGTCATCTATGCAAAAATTCTGGGTTGTTAACCATTGGGCATAGTCCGTCCCTGGAGTTCTGGGCATAATGAAGTTTCACCTACAACATTGAAAACAACCTAAACGCATATGTTATCGTTCACCAAATTTACATCATGCTGAAGTTAATAATTTAGAGACTAAATAAAAATAACTTTTTAATTTTGAGGGCCCGTAACTTGTTAATGAAGGCCCATATGGAAAAAATGTATATGAAGAACTAATATTATTTTGAGGTTATCTGTTTGTACTCGACTTTTTTGTATCAAGTACCAGGACACACTGTATAGTGGCAAGAAATACGCCAACTAATAGTTAACAGAATAAATGGAAAAATATGCTAATTTGAAAAAGGCTTTCTGAAAACAAATTGATGTTACTGTTTTGTGAGATACTACTTGTTAATATTACGATTACTTTATAAACAAGAATTTATCATAGAAAGGAATATTTGATGTTTCAATTAAAATTGGAAGTTCTGGTATTCAATATAAAATATAACAATTTCAATATAAAATATAATAATACTGTTTGTAAGAAATAAATCCACCCTCAAATTAAATTATTTGATAAAGCCGCACGAGGTACAGCCTCCCGGCATATTTTTAAATTACCCTATATTTTCTATTGTTTAGAGTCGTCAAAATACAACAAAAGCTTTTTCACGAGGCTTTATAAACTAGTCTGATTAAGACAAGCGAAACGCACCCTTATTTAAGTAGAACCCAAATAGCGTTATGTAAAATTCCTTGTTTTCTCATTCATTCAGGATGCATTAGCCAAACAGGCAGCGTATAATATAACTAATGGACGACAACACTGATTGAAAAATTTCACAAAACACAAAACGCCTCCGAAAGAGAGGATATGATTGAATGAGAATCCAGGCTTCACTCTTTTTATGGATACTACAGACAGGTGGAATGGTAAATCCCATTTCTGTATCTACTGTATAAACGAATTTATTAGGGTATTTGAAGTATGCTTTTATAAATTAATGTAGAAAATTTATAAGCAAAATAAAAAGTAAAATTAGAGTATACCTACATCGTGATATGATATTATATAAATTATAATAACATTAATTAACTGACAACTAAACTACTGCTTTTTTCCACAGATCAACAATGAAACTACTCTTGCGAAAAAAAAAGGTTAGGTCCAAAAGGTTACTTTTAAAAAATCAAATGCATTAAAATTTAGAAATATATACATATACAGGGTGTATCTTAAGTGATGACTTTAATTTCAAGGGGTGATTCCTTGTCATATTTTAAGCAAAAAAGTGCATATGAACATCGGTCCGCAAGTGCTTCGTTACCGAGATACAGGGTGTCAAAGATGGGAAAATAAATCGCATTTTTTTAAATATCTTTCGACTGATTCGAAATAATTTAATGAAATTTCATACACGGGGGTTTTTTGGAATGACAAATTCAAAGCTGTGGTCAATTTAGGTGTATTTTTTTGAGGGCGTCACCGGCAACGATTTCGGCCTCTTTAATCCATCGCAACTTTTTTCTGCTACCCTATATGCCATTTTGGACTAGAATAATCGATTCTCCTACCTTATCTGCTTAAAAAAGATTTTAAAGAAATGTTTTTTTGTTGAATACAAAAATTCCTGTGATAACAAAATTTCGATGATATTTGGCATTAAAAGTGACAAGATACTGTCAGTTGACTATCTCTTTTAGTGTGCACTTAACTATGAATAACGTTGAACAAGCTCAAATATATTCCTCAAGCATGCAAAAGTGGTCCGAAAATGGATCCAAAATCAGCTAACGCAGAAAGTTTCTATATTGTCCGTAGATGAAAAAAATGGCAAATTGGAAATCCTAAGTGATTGGTTTCGCAAGTTATGGACGCTTTTATATTTATGCTATACGCATTCATGAAGAGCAAAGTAGAGCATTTGAGCACACACGTACAATCCGTTTTTTAACTCCAAGTCAAACAAATTGAGCATGTATTTATTAGTTATTGTTGATATTTTTTTTTCGATTTATTGATATTTTGATAAATGATTAAGTTGGTTTAATGAATAATCCAAAATTTAAATGGTTTCGTTTTTACGACTTATCTCAAAATGCTTCAGCTAATTTTTATGAAGTTCTTGTTTTATAAATATATGATAATTTCAAGCTTCTTTTTATACCGCTAGGTGGCGCATGCAAATCTGCAATAGGAAAATTCATCTCGAAGTAATATATACACCAGAGGAAAAGCCATCAAACCTCTTCGAGTGCATTTTTGAAACTTATGTTTTCAAAATGACTTGGAGTTAAAAAACGGATTGTACGTGTGTGCTCAAATGCTCTACTTTGCACTTCATGAATGCATATAGCATAAATACAAAAGCGTCCTTAACTTGCGAAACCAGTCACTTAGGATTTCCAATTTGCCATTTTTTTCATCTACGAACAATATAGAAACTTTCTGCGTTAGCTGATTTTGGATCCAT